AGGGAAAGGGAGGGGGAAGGGGAGGAGAAAGGAGGGAGAGGGAGAAGAAATAGGGAGGGCGGGAGTTGGAGAGGGAGAAGAGGAGGGAGGGAAGGGGAGAGGAGGGTTTATTTTAGCCCACAGTTGGAGGATATAGTAGATCCTGGTAGGGAAGTCCTGGCAGTGGAAGCTGGAAGCATCTTGTCACATCACACCCAGTCAGCAAGTGCTGACTGTTTGTGTTCAGTTCCTGTGTGTTCCTCCTTTTATTTAGTCCCAAACCCTATGTGATGTAGCTCTCCTAAGTGAAAGTGGATGGATCCTCCCACTTTAATTAACCTAATCTAGACAATCCCTCACAGACAGCCCCAAAGGCTTGTCTCCTTGGTGCTTCTACATCCTCTCAAGATTATTAAGACAAAGTGCATAATCTGAGATAATGTGAAGAAAATCAGACCCTGATGTATTGGCTAATAGCCATTAGAGACAGTTGGGTATCACCAGCTGAGGTCCCCTTCAACATCAGGTACTGGAGGACAGTAGAGAAACACCCAACAGTGCTGAAAGACAGACATTGAGAGGAAGTGTTTGATGCCCAGCTCACGGGCTGGACAGGGCTGATTACAGGAGAGTTAGAGACGGCACAAGAGATGGCTCAGCAGTTAGGAGCACTGGCTGCTCCTCCCAGCACCCACACGGCGGCTCACAACCATCTCAACTCTGGCTCCTAGGGATCCATTGTCTTATGGCTTTCTCAGACACCAGGCACCAGGCACATGTGTGGTGTACAGGCACACATGCAGGCAAAACACCCATACACATAAAACATAAATAAAAATAAAATTATAAAAAGTTTGATTGACTAGGGACCTGGGGACTGGTGCGAGGCTTTGATGGCTTTGCTGAACCCACAGTACAGCATGACCCTTGTGACGGAGACATTCTTGCAGATCTGAATGGTTTAGACAGGCATGTAAACTGGATTTCAAAAGCACAGAAACAACCAGGAGAGGATGAAAGTCTTAGTGACTCTAAAGCACACGTGGCAAGATGAGAAAGTTCTCAGGAAAACTGGACAGACATCAAATGCAGTGCTGTGAGCAGAAGAGAAGCCACATGAAGGCACAGCCACGCTCACCCTGGGCCTTAGCCGAAGAAATGAGAGCCAGCCCTGGCCCTGCCAAGCCTGGTGTAGGTGAGGAGATGCCTGGCAGCCCTGTGGCTGTACCCCAGGACGAAAAGGCAGGTCAACTCATGGAGAATGATGACAGATGGGAGGTTAACAAAGTGCCTCCCACCCACATGGCTGTGCTCAATGTGGTCCCTGAGAAAACAAGAAACACAGCCACAGAATCTTCTGTGGACCTTGCTAACATTTTCCCTCTTAGCTGCTCTGTCCTGAGATCAGTTGGCACTTGCTTGGAATGGTGGGTGATGGGCCTTCAGTGGCCCTGCCCAGCATCCTCTCCAAGTCTGGCATTAACTTTCATCTGCAGAAAAGGAGGGTTCTATTTTGCTTCCTCTCTTTCCCGTCATACGCTTGTATGCCTGTCATCTTCCTGTCCTACCAATACTTTTTCTCATTGAATCACTACTTACAGTTGGTATTAGCATTCAGTCCAGCCCTAGCTGAGTCTGGAGGTGCTTCTACACGGAAGTGTAGGGTAGGCTTGGGAATGTGGCTCAGTGTAACACTCATTTAACAGGTACAAGGCTCATGGTCAGATAACAAGGACAGAGAAGGGGGCAGGGAGGAAGAAGAAGGCAGAGATGGGAGACAGAGAGGAAGGGAAAGAGGGAGAAAGGGAGGAAGGAAGAGAGGGACAGAGAGACAGAGATATCGAAGATCCATTAGAGCCTCCCTTGGGAACTTGTGAAAAAATTCAATAGTGCTTGCTGGCCCAGCCTAGAATGCAAATACATTTAAAAGAATCCCTAGGCAATTTTTGCATGTATTAAAGTTTGAGACACTATTAAGTGTGTTGTTGTTGTTCTTGTTTTGATTTACTGATTTCTTATAATTATATATTTTGCTATATTGCATGGAAACCTGCTGCTTTCTTTGAAATTGAGTATTTTGTACTTTTATTTGCTTAGTTTTAAAAATATGTCATGGGTTCGACTACAAATTTTATCAGTTGTCAAAATGTTCTTCTCTGTAGGCCAAAGAGAGAACTCAATGGGCAAAGTGCTTGCTGTGTAGGCCTAGCAAAGCGAGTTTGGTTCCTGGAACCCACCGATTGCAAGGAGAAAAGAGACTCATTGCGGTCTTCTCGGACCTCCACACATGCACCTTTACACAGTCAGGCCACAGTGCATACAGACAAACAAATAATGTCATTCTAAAAGCCTACTTCACAGTCAAGAGTAGTGACTCTCGAATCTGTAATCCCAGCACTAGGGAGGCTGAGGCAGGAGGATCACCATGAGTTCAAAGCCATCCATGAAACTAGCAAATGTCCTTGGCCCTAGTAGCCAAGCACTTGCCTCTCAGGAGTCATTAGTGTGGGCCAGAATAGTGCAGAGGGAGAGGTGGCCACAGGAGCCTCAGCACCCTACGCTCTCACATCTAACCCTACACAAGGGGCAGGGGCAGGGCTGAAGTGGGGACCACAGAAGTGAGCAGCAGGAACTGTCTTTCTCTTCTGCTTTGGTAGTAGTTTATTGCCTGGGAGTTGGGCTTCATTGGGCCAGCTTCCTCCCCAAAGCCCCTAGACTTGTACATTTGGAAGCCAGAACACTCCCTGAGGCAAGGAGTTCCTCAAGGGCCCCCAGTGTGTTCCTGTAGTAAGACACCTGACCCAGCTACACTGAGATTTCAGAGTACGTTCCCTGATCTGGATCTTGCAGGTACCCCCCCCACACACACACACCAATACCGGTTCCCTGTACTGCAGACATCTAGTGGGCTCTGGCCGGCTACTCTGATGTGAAGTTGGAGTCACAAAGCAAACAGATACTCCCCGTGACAGTGCAGTGTGACGCCTGTGGGTCCCAGTGATGGGCTGTGCCCGTGATTCTGACTCCTACAGTGCTCTAAATTCAAACAGTACCCACCCCCTTTCAAGATGGCTCCTGGTCCTGGCACCTGCATTTGCTGGAAGATGACAGTAAATCCTTCTCCAAAGTCAGGCTACTACACAGCTTGTACCCAAGTGTCCCGTAACCCCAAGGTCAGCACCCGTGTTGGGTAGGTCCCATCTCCAGAGCTAGGCAGTGGGTGAGATTTTCTATGTGGCTCCAGATCACTAAATCTAACAAGGTTTCCATGTCTCTCTGGAGTCCATTGTTCTCCAATAATCGCCCACCTCACAATGCAGCAACACACTCCACACTTGTGACATTGCGGAGGTGAGGGCTGCATGCATGCCTGTCAACCATTTTGCTTTCTGGTCTTTTGTACTGTGAGAGATTAAGAGTTACTATTACAGTTAGAAGCCAGACAGTCTCAAAGGTCATTTTCTCTCTTTTTTTTTTTGTTTTGTTTTGTTTTTTGTTTTGTTTTTTTGGTGATTTTGTTTTTGTTTTCGAGACAGGGTTTCTCTGTGTAGCCCTGGCTGTCCTGGAACTCACTCTGTAGACCAGGCTAGCCTCGAACTCTTGAACTCAGAAATCCGCCTACCTCTGCCTCCCAAGTGCTGGGATTAAAGGCGTAAGCCACCACTGCCTGGCTCAAAGGTTATTTTCAAATGCATTCACTTGTCCTACTGTACAGAACCATAATGTTAGTTCAGGACCTGAACTGTGCTTGTCTCACTAAACACCGTGTTTACAGACTCACAAGAAAAACAGGGGAAAGTAAACACTGACCTGGGCTGGAGAGATGGCTCAGTGGCTAAGAGCACTGTCTGCTCTTCCAGAGGTCCTGAGTTCAATTCTCAGCAACCACATGGTGGCTCACAACCATCTGTAATGGGATCTGATGCCCTCTTCTGTTGTGTATCTGAAGACAGCTACAGTATACTCGTATACATAAAATAAATAAATTTAAAGAAAAAAGACAAAAAAGAAAACACTGACCAGAGAGCACACTCCTGTTTGCTTTGGTGCTGGTAATAAAGTATGGGGTTGTGCCCCACACCATGTAAGTGCTGTTTCAAAGATTCAAAGATCATCCACAGGCTGGGGGGGCAGGGAGGTTGTTTTGGTTTTTTCCCCCTTCCTCTTTCCAGTCTTGGTCTTAGAACAGAAGGTACAGAATTATTTAGAGGCCCACAGAGGAGGTGTTGACGGTGTCATGTGCCTCTGATCCTAGCTCTGGGAAGGCTGGGGAGAAGGGTAGGGAGGATGGTGATTTTCAGGCCAGCCTGGACTGCACTGTAGACCCTAACAATGGTTATTGTGCCGTGTATATGCACTGCAGGTCTGTGAGAGCTCTGTGCAGATGGAAAGTGTTGTGTTCCCTACCAACCCAGGCTGGTCATTGGTAGACGGGATCGATGGGCTTGCTTTCTTTAGGGAGCCTTCCTTTAACAAACCCTTAGTCACTAGGGGGAAAGTACAGACCCAGTGTGGAATGAGGTTAATAAAATTCAATTCTCACTAAACTACCAGATTTCATCTTATTTTGTGAGAATTTTGTCTTCCTAAGTCAGATCTTAGCAAAATTTAAAGTAAATACAACAAACAAACACTGAATATGGCTAGTTAACTTTTAGCCATCCCTATCTGTGGTTTCAGTTTTGAGAGTTCAGCCACTCTGAAACACAGCACAGCAAGACATCCTGAGGCCAGAGAAGGCTCTGTAGGTGAAGGCGCTGGCCACCAAGTCTGACAACCTGAGTTTGGTCCCAACACATGGTTGAAGGAGAGAACTGAATTGTCCTCTGACCGCCACTATAATGTGTATGCCTGTATCACAAACACACACACACACACACAACACACAACACATACACGCACAACACACACACAACACACACACAACACACACACACAACACATACACACACAACACACACACACACATGAATGAGCACTCGTATACACACTAAATGTAATAAAACAACACTTTAGAGATATTTTGAGAGACCACACAAACATCATCTTTATTTGAGTATATGTTGTAATTCTTCTAATTCTCACTTTGTCCAGTCAGTAACCTTTGTCACAGATATACACGCACAAGAAAGACCAGTCCACACGGAGTTCAGTACTCTTTCCAGGTTCAGGCAGCCACGGGAGTCTGGGAACATGTAAGGAGGGACTGGCCACTTCTATCCACATCTGAGGACAGGCGATAACTTACTTAAAGGTCATGACTGTTTTCCGCAGGTGTGGATGGAGGACTCGTCCCCAAAACAGCAGCAATGCCGGTCCAGATGACTGACACCAGGAGACAACTGCTGCAGGAACTCTTCGGGAGATTTAAAGTTTAGCAAGAATTCTGGAACTTTATATGCCTTTGAAATACCACTCAGGTACAAATAAATGCTTTGTTTCTAGCCTGACACAAACCCAGCTCATTTTCAACAAGTCATGACACTATTTTATTTGGGAAGGACAGGCAGGCAGAAGTCAATTCACGATTTCTCCCACTAACAGCTGCAGGAGTAGCAAGGAGTTCCCCGAAAGGAGTTCCCCGTATGCGCTACTGTGAAAGCTGTGGGGCTGGTGTAGCAAAATTACTTTCAGAGTTTACTTCACTGCAGCAGCGAGTCCACCGACAGGGCCGCTAAGCAATCGTGAGCAACATTGCTGCCTGGCCATCCCACCACAGAAAGTCTTTTGTATGTAACACCCTCTCCTATGTGCTACACTATAGATGTTTTCATTCTGCCAACAAGAAAAACATGCTTTTACTTATAAGGACGTAAATATTTTTTTTTAATTTTTAAAGCCTAACAATTGATTTTCTCCAAACAATAGTTCTTATTTTCTAAGAAGACAACCCCTTAGTTATGTGATGCCTAATGACTACTGTGCCCAGGAAAAATAACACTATGACCCATATTATAGTAGGACCAAGTGCCTCTTTGTGTTGTTAATACTTTATATCATATTATTGGGATCTTAGTCATCTGAAGGAGAATAATTGTCTATTTGTCTTGAAAGTGTTGTACTCTGGTAGACAACTCTTTTAGTCCACTTCAGACTAACTCAAAGGCTGGAAAGCTGGCCTGTGGTAGAAAGTGCAGATTTTTAGCTGCAAACCTCTGGCCGATCAAGCTGCAGACAGTCACCTAAACTTTATTCTACCTGTCAAAACAAAACCTAAAACTGAAGCGTTTTTAAGGGGACGCTAATAATTACAAATTGTAGAGTTACAGAGACCTCCTGAGGTTGCTATAAAAACAAACAAGAGTGGAAAGTTTAACCCAGCTGCTGCCGGACCAACGACAGGTAGCCGCTGCCCTTCACTTGCCCAAACTGCTCTTAGAGCCAGATGTTATCAGTGCACAATGCTCTGCTGACAGGAATAAATGTTTTGCCAACCGGGGGCACAAGCCTGCAATGAGCAGCAGCTGGAAGGTGGAGGACTTCAGAGTTATCCAGTCCCATGGAACGTTACATGGGATCACGTGTTAAAAAAATGTCGCCTGTAATGGGAGGTGCCTTGAACTGGTTTTTAAAGAGTTTGGAGAGGAGAGGACTAAGGCAACTTGTTACCCAGTTTTAAGGTAAAACATGATCGGCTGACATTTCTGCATCTCAGATGTAGAGCAAGTAAGATGGTGTCACCGTTTCCCAGGGAACTGGAGTTGATCACGGGTTAAGTCTTACTCGCTTGCATCGCTTTCTGAAATGTTATTTGGAAGCTCACTCATCAGAACACCACCTCCAGCCTTGGCAGGTGCTCTTGTCTCACAGGTCACAGATGGCATCTGCACCCTCTCTTGGCCTCTTCCTCGAAAGCACCATGCATGTTCTAGCCAAACAGTAACATTTTCCATATATATGTATATGCATAGATACATTAAAACACAGAACTATATAAAATCATACACCACATGAAGCACAACCACAAAGGTTTCCTAACTGTAGGCACAAGAAGACGCATGCAGGGTGAGCCCCGCAGAGCACAGGGCCTACGGACAGAGATTTCCAATCCTGGTTTGTATTTCCTGGAGTATAGTGATATGTCTTCCTACTCAGCAAAATATTTTTAAAAAATTTAGGTACTATCCACTCCATTAGATTTAATTGAAAATGTTTCCTATATATACGACAATAAAAGAAAAACAGCTTACAACACATTCCATTTTTAATACATCAGCAAGTTTCCAAGGCAACATTATCCAACGACTGTGCCACTGTCCCTAGCATAACACGGGGCTCTAAGGGAGCGAGTGTGGGGGGGTGCCAGCCAGGACTCAGGTGCTCTTCTTCTCATCCCCCAGCAAGTTCACCGTAGCTTTCTTGACTGTTGAGGGAAAAGAAAACTGTATCAAGAGCTCTTATAATGTAAGCTCCATCCTCCCTGGCTGCTAGATACCATGGTGACTATGGCGCCTGACTTGTGTGCTGATGAGCACACACTGAGGCTGTGGTCAAGGCTAAGAGGGCTTCCAGGAAACAGATAAGGCACCTCTTTCGATGTAAGCAGAATTCTTGAAGGTCATCTAGCCTCGAGGCTTGTATGACATCCTCACCTGGACCATCTGCCCTGTCTCCTTCAATCATCAAAGCAGCAGAGACTGTCACGGTGACCAGAGTTAGGACAGAACCCACACCACGCTACACACCTAGACTTGCTCACTGAGCCACTATTCCCCCAAGACAGGAAGTGCAGGGGAGCCACAGGGAGGGAGGGGCAGACTGAGATGCCATAGACGGCAGCTGGTGTTGATGGAGCCCAGAGTCTCTCGGTGAGAGCCAAGGAATCCCTTTGTCCACAAGCTTCTGACAGTTGCTCTCCCTTTACTCACTGCAAATCCCCAGGCAAAGCTGACATCAAGCAGGTAGCAGTCTTTCTCAACTAGCTGTGCGAGAGATCCCCGGTGGCCCTGAACCATCCAAGAACCACTGAGCCTCTCCAGTCTCACTTTCTTTCAATTTCTAAAACCTATTTGGGGTCTGCTTTCACAATCCAAAGCTAGAACTAAGCAGTCTGAGGGCCCGTGATTCCTGAAATAGTCATGTGAGTCTCGGATATACCAGCCTCTTCCTAGACAGCACCCGGCTGTCATCAGAAGCTCTCGGCTGCACACTCACCCCAGCTTCTCCAACACTGACCCCTCCTGTTCAAAACGTCCCAGCTCCCACCACTCCCCTGGTGGTGCACTAGATGCCTGGTCTCTCAAATCTCTCCAGTCAGATGTTTGTTCCCAGTGCCCATAAAGGTGTTTTCTTCAGGTCACTAATCCTCACTGCTGAGTCTGATGGTCATCTCTTGGAGTCACCCTCTTACCTAACCCTCACAGCACGTGACAGGATGGACACCTCACTGGACAATACCCTCTGGCTTTCCTGCCACCCTCCCCTACCCAGCTTCTCCAGGCTGGTGCAGCCAGCTGGCTTTCATCTCTTATACCCTGGGTGTAAACCTGTTTCCTGGGGCTCTCAACATCTGTATCCAGTGGCTATCAGACTATTATTCCATGCAGGTCTCTAAGAGACACTTCAGACATCTGCCCAGAACCAGATGTTGTATTTCTGTTATCCAGTCTTCCCACTTCAATGGCAAGTCTACCCTTTGAACTGCTCAGGCGGTAAGTCCTGGCCCTGGCTTCTTTCACTCTCAAACTCCTAGCCTAATTCATAAGTAAATCCTACTGTCCCCAACTTAAATGCAATCAAGAGCAGGGCGGTGGTGGCGCACGCCTTTAATCCCAGCACTTGGGAGGCAGAGGCAGGCGGATTTCTGAGTTCGAGAGTTCGAGGCTAGCCTGGTCTACAGAGTGAGTTCCCGGACAGCCAGGGCTACACAGAGAAACCTTGTCTCAAAATAAAAAAAAATAAAAAAAAATAAAAAAAAAAGAAAGACTCTCATACTTACTATTGCTACTTTATTGTCACTGCTACAAATCATGAGGCTACCATCTGTAGCTAGATCACAACATCCTAACAAGACTATATTTCCTTCCTTCTTCTGTCCCCATCCCCCACCCTGAGCTGAGGACTGACCCCACCCAGGGCCTTGCACTTGCTAGGCAAATGCTCTGCCGCTGAGCTAAATCCCTTTAGTCCTGTCTTCATGCAGCGGCCACAGTCATGCATGCTGTTCTGCTCAAACTTCTCCAGCAGCACAGTCGTGGAGTGAGGGCAGCCCCAGGCCCGCCCCGCCCACTGGCTGACCCAGCTCCTGCCATCCTCCTGTGTTTCTTTTATGGCTTCCACCTCCAAGCTTTTTCTTACAAGCAGTTCCTGAACAATCTACCCTGAGGTCTCCTCTGTTGATTTTTCAAGCCTGACTCAGGAAGCCTTCATGACAGCTGATCTTGATTTCATCTTGACACACCTGAGACGGAGGGGCCTGTTGGAGAGCTGTCTCCACCAGACTGGCCTTGGGCTTGTCTTTGGGGGCATTTTCTTGATTGCTAATTGCAGGCCAACCTGAACTGGAGATAAAGACATTTATGCAGCTGGTTCTCTAAACTCGGCCTGCAGTGGAAAAGTCACTTTTCTAATATGATGACTGAAGGCTGCACTGAACATCACTGAGAAGGAAACAGAGGAACTGGGGGAGGACAGGTGAGCCTAGGGCGTGGCATCTACTCCACACAGAGCACAAGCTGCCCCTAAGCCTTACCTTCTTTGCTGATGGCATCTGCAGTCTCTTTGGCTTTGTCCTTCACGTCCTTCACCACACTATCCACCTGGGACTCGTGCTTCAGGAAGACAGGACGGATGATTCGCCTGTAGAGCAATTCAGCCCCATTAGACGGGCTGGGCGCCATGCACCACAACAGGAAGCCACACTGCAGGGAACAGAAAGCTGGTGAGAAGGACCATGGGCACGCTGGGACTCCACGCATGCCCTCCCCTATGCCGGGGACAGCATTGATTCTGACATCCCGTGATAGCATTGTTTCTGACCTCTCCACTGGTATCCCAGTGTTGTCTAATGGCTAATGGGAGGCTTAGAAAAAGCACAACCAGTAAGGAAGCAGCAAAAAGACTGTGTTTCAAAAGAAAGAGACAGAAGGAAAAGAGGAGCTGGGACCACAGCTCAGTTCTTACAGTGCTGGCCTAGCATAGCCAAAATCCTGGGCTAAATCCCCAGCACCACAGAAGCTACTCATGGTGGTGCCAGCCCGTAATTCCATCGCTGTGTGGGGGTGAAGCAAGGCATTCAAGGCCAGCCTCAGCTACACAGGGAAGTGAAGCCAGCCTGGGATATGTGAGACCATGTCTAAAATAAATAGATACATAAAACAAATAATAATGGGAGAGAGAGAGGGGGGGGGAATAAGGGGGACATAAATACGTCTCAATGAAACCCATTATCTCTTAATGTGTGTTTGAGAGAATTATATGATTTGAAATATGGTTCATGTATGTGAGTGCAGACACACACTTGAAGGTCAAAGGCTTTCTTTGGGTTTTGTTTTTTTGTTTTTTAAGACAGGGTTTCTCTGTGTAGCCCTGGCTGTCCTGGAACTCACTCTGTAGACCAGGCTGGCCTCGAACTCAGAAATCCACCTGCCTCTGCCTCCCAAGTTCGGGGATTAAAAGGCTAACTTTCAGGAACCACACTTCTCTTCCTCCACTGTATTAAGGAACCACACGTCTATTCCTCCACTGTAGGTTCAGGGGGCACAGCTTACACAACACTCACTGTTACGCACTACACCATCTTGTCTGCCTGAAGTCCTTCTTCTTAAATAAGAACCTACTAATCAAAAAATAATGAAGGGGCTGGGGAGATGAGGGTCTGAATTTAGATCCCCAGCAGCATGTGAAAGGAGCACACGCAGGTGTGCACACGCAGGGGAGCACACATGCCCTGCACACTCGTAAGTAAATTAAGGTAGAACTGAGTATAGCAGTGCTTGCAGCCCCAACCACTCAGCTTCAGGCTGAGGACGACTTTAACATACGAGTCCAAGGCCAGCATGGGCAAAATTGTCAGGAGCCATCTAGGAGAGGCTAAGGCTAGCAGGTGACTTTCCTGGAGGTGGCCTACCATGGCTTATGATGGACGAGCTCTGAGAGGCAAGGTCCCAAGAGACTTCATCTCAGGATTGCTTCTTGCAGCTGATACACCTTTTCCTGTCACTATTACACAGTCTAATGATTCCTGGACATTACCCCACCCTATTCTATTGGTGAGATTTCCTGCAGATCAACATAAAGATGAACTTTCATGAATCAATGCTGTTTAGATGAATAAATGATTTTATAGAATTCCTCATTTGATTCAAATAATTTTAGGAAGAAAGTTTTAAGAGATGGTTTTAGTTGTTTTGCCAGAAAGATAAAATAGTAAGTAAAGGCTGCATAATAAGAAATACAATGAGCCTTCACAATTACACTAAAAAGAGACTTGGGACAAATTTTTGATCAAGGAAAAATATTCATTCTAGGTCAGGTCCAAGGATGAAGCCACAGGTATACACTATGATAAAATGAGGTCACGTGAAACTGTTGCTTTGAACTTATAATGAGCTTATCGAATGAAATACTGCTTTGAACTTACTATCAACATCCTTCTGTAACTCCCCTTTTGTGTAACAAGTTATCTATTAGGTAATTTTCTAAAGAACTTTTGTCTAAGAAAGTATAAGAAGGCCAGAGAGAAGGAATAAAGTGTGGTATCTGAAGCTCTGCCCCATCCGCTCACCAAATGTATGTATGTATATGTCTGCTGTATATACATACTGTGTAGGTAGGTATATGTGTATGCGTGTAAGTGTGTAAGAACACTTGTGGAGTTGATGAGACAGGTGGTCAGGTCCAACCAGAATATATGTGTGTGTGTGTGTGTGTGTGTGTATATCTGTGCATATGGCCTGTGTAAAATATTTTCTTTCTTTTCTTCTCTTTTCTTCCTGATTCAGTTAATGAGTCTTGTCTGGTCCTTGAGCTAGAGAGAAGGGAGCCCTAACAACTAAGCCTTCCTTTTTTCTAATCCCCTGATGCTAACAGAAAGAGTTTATTATAAGAAGCCAACGGTTTTTGGCCTTTATTAGCAAACAGTTATAGACAGAAGAACTGCCAAAGATAAATAAGGTTTGGCCACACCACTGACTCCACACCCCATCGCTGCCTTTCCTTGGGACCCTTTCACTCTGGCCGGACTCTGGCACAGAATATCGAAACTTCAGAGAAAGGAGGGATGTATTTCTGGCTAGTATCTTTTTTTTTTAAACATAAGATGTCTCATTTTTAGGAATAAATTATTCACAGAGACATATGCACATCAAAAGAAGGTACCAAGGTGAAATGCTAATGACTGACCAGATTAGAAATCAAAAGGGCCTGTCTCATGAGCTTAGGCAAGTGAGCACGGCTGAGTCCTCTTTCTGTTCTATAGGGTTTTAAGAAAATCATTTTTAAAAATTTTTTACATTTATTTACTTTACTGCACAAATGTTTGGCCTACAAGTACGTATGTGTACCATATGTGTATACAGTACCCACAGAGGCCAGAAGAGGGCATCAGATTCCTCTGGAACTGGAGTTATGGCTGGCTGCGAGCCACCATGTGAGTACTGGGAACTGAACCTGAGTCTTCTGCCAAGAGCAGCCGTTGCTCTTTGTGGCTGAGTCATCTCCCCAGCCCTGGCATGTTGTTTTTTTTTTTTTAATCTGCTATCAGGAGGACAACAGTATCATCTAAAGACCCTGCTATTGATGGAACCCTCTGAAATACCATCCACCCACAAAGATACTACCTTTGAGCAATCCAGTCAGGCTGATTCTCTTTTCTGGATGAATTAGGGCAAGACCAACAGATGGGGCCAGCTCAAACATCTCTAGTTCTGTCTTCAATGTGATTACTCTGTAGAATATACAGCCAGCTATCCACTTGGTACTTTCTGGTCCCCTCTAGCTAACTGTCTTGAGATAGTAAAATAATTACTGCTCTCCACTTCCATCCTCAGCACTCTGCAGTTCTCATATTAAAAATGAGGTTAATTACTGTTCAACTCTCGAGGCGATGCCTAGCTACCAGCTCTCGGAGCCCCTTCTCTTCATCTCGCAGATGTGACTGTGCTTTGTATGAAGCTCTCCTTCAAGCTGATAACTCTCCTAGAGACAGCCACAGGAGCCTACACTAACTGACAGATCAGATGAAGGGCACACACTGCTCTAAGGAGACTGCTGCAGCATCAGCACAGACACAATGACTCCATACACGACAATAAGCCAGGCAACTGTCTGTGGCTCAGTGCTATCACTGTCAAGAGTAGGGCTACAACTGATAGTCAGGGGACCATCGTGGTCAGAGTTTAAAGCTAATGCCAGAGAAAATGTGTTTCAATGGCTGGAGCTGGAGCTCAATGATACAGCGCTTGCCTAAAATGCACCAGGCCCAGAGGCCAAGCCCCAGCAACACACGCACACACGCACACACACAACACACACACACACACACACACACAGGAGAGAGAGAGAGAGAGAGAGAGAGAGAGAGAGAGAGAGAGAGAGAGAGAGAGAGAGAGAGAGAGAGTTGAGGGAGGGAGACTGAGATTGATAATTTTTGGAGACAGGGTTTCTCTATGTAGTTCTGCCTGTCCTGCAACCTCCTCTGTAGACCTGGCTGATCTTGAACTCACCTGTCTCCAAATCTCCCAGTGCTGGGATTAAAGGTATGGGCCACCACTGCAGAAAGTGATTTTATGTATCAACTTTTCCTACTATGCTACAATGAATTGGTCAGAAACCTAAGTCTTAGACACACAATACCATTTATGTTCTGATGACATGTAAGTAGAAGAAAAACTCAAAATACAATATATACTCATAAAGTGGCCTTATGTAAACCTGTATAATTAAGGGGAAAAGGAAATCTAGACCTTGGAAGGCCTCTGCAATACAGCCAGAGGAGACGGGCTGAATTTAAAATCAATTCTTCAAAAAATAAATAACTAAAATCAATTGTTCAAGCCAGGCCGTGGTGGCGCATGCACACCTTTGATACCAGCACTTAGGAGGCAGAGGCAGGTGGATCTCTGTGAGTTTGAGGCCAGCCTGGTCTACAGAGTTCTAGGACAGACAGGGTTATATAGTGAGACCCTGTATCAGAAAATCAAAACAAAACAAAAATCAATCATTCAAGATGTGCACAGTAATTTGAGGTCACCTGAGCATAAACCCTGTCTTAAGGAAAAAGTAAAACAAAGATGGCTGCTCTTCCTGAACCACAAGCAAAGAACAGAACAGGCGAGGGAGACCATTTCCCCTTTTTATTCTGAAGCATCCCACTTTTAGTTTGTTGCTGTGATAATATAGTCTCACAAAAAGCAACCCAGGGAGCAACGGGGTTTGTTACAACTTCTGTCAGCAAAGGGGGGCAGGGCAGTAACTCCTGCCCGGAACTTGAAGCAGACACCATGGGAACAGTGCTTGTTGGCTCACTCATTCTCATGGTAACTGGCTTCCTTCACAGCCCAGGACCACCTGCCAGGGAACGGTAGCACCCACAGTTGATCAAAATAATCCCCCAAAGACAAGCCTGCAGTCCAGTCTGACTGGGGAGTCCTTCAGGAGGCCCACTTCTCAGCCACTCTAGTTTGGGTCAAGTCCACAGTTAGAAGCTAAGCAGGACATAAAGGGCATTTATTCCACAGCCTGAAAGAGTTTATAAATCCCTTGGAGGAAAACTGGTTCACAGACCAAAATAATAAGATACTGGATGAGTACACTGTTTCTAAAGAAAGACAACATAATCAACTACAGACCTCGTCAGGAGCAAAAGCACAACTGAGTGATGTGGAATTTTACAAGAGATTGTTTCTACACCCACAAAAGTGAGGCAGTTGCGCAAGCCCAGAGGCCAGAGCTCCACCACAGAGTCCTGGAACCCATAACAGATGTAGATCCAACAGAGGACCTTCACACACAGACACACACACAGACACACACACACACTCACACACACACACTCTCACACACACACTCTCTCTCTCACACACACACACACTCTCACACACACACTCTTTTTTTTTTCTTTTTTTTTTTTTTGGTTTTTGGAGACAGGGTTTCTCTGTGTAGCCCTGGCTGTCCTGGAACTCACTCTGTAGACCAGGCTGGCCTCGAACTCAGAAATCCGTCTGCCTCTGCCTCCCAAGTGCTGGGATTAGAGGCGTGCGCCACCACTGCCCGGCTAATGGCCTACACACACACTCTCATACACACACACACACTCTCTCACATACACACATACACACACACTCTCTCTCTCACACACACTCTCTCACACACACACACTCTCCCTCACACATACACACACACTCTCTCTCTCACACATACACACACACACTCTCACATACACATACACACTCTCACATACACACACACACACACACACTCTCTCACACACACATTCTCCCTCACACATATACACACACACTCTCTCACACACACACACTCTCTCTCACTCACACACACACACACACACACACACACTCTCACACACTCTCTCACACACACACACACTCTCACACACACACACACTCTTTTTTTTTTCTTTTTTTTTTTTTTTGGTTTTTGGAGACAGGGTTTCTCTGTGTAGCCCTGGCTGTCCTGGAACTCACTCTGTAGACCAGGCTAGCCTCGAACTCAGAAATCCACCTGCCTCTGCCTCCCAAGTGCTGGGATTAGAGGCGTGCGCCACCACTGCCCGGCTAATGGCCTACACACACACTCTCTCTCTCACATACACACACACTCTCTCTCACACACACACACTCTCCCTCACACATACACACACATAGTCTCTCTTTCACACACTCTCACATACAAGTAAAATAAAATTAAAATAAGTGCCGAGCAATACTAGTTAGGCTTGGAAATTATGACAGATGAAATACAAGAACCAACACATGGCATTACTGCAGAGTGGCTGTAACTATGAGCAAATGTAAGAACCGGACAGTCAGACCGCAGGAAGAGGAGCATGTGAACAGACTTTCTAAGATTAAGACTAAGATCAGATAGCAAAGGAAGCTACATCTATTGTATCTCAGAATTAGAAATCCAGATTAAGGAGCTGGCGGAGTAGGTCAGTGGTGGAGCACTTGCCTAGCATGTGCAAGGCCCTGGTCAGACTTGCGGCCCAGAAAAACACAAGAAGCCAAAGCACGAGACAGCATGCTACCATCTAATCTGCACCCAAGCTTCCTCAGATTAGAAAGCATTTACGTATGCAAGTGTATAACAATAACTGTAAATGTCATAAGATATATAAGTAACAACTGTTAGGTGTAAGAACCCCAAACTTCCATGTGCTACATGCACGCCAACAACATGACCAGGCTGAATAGCATCTTCAAAGTTGTAATTTTGTGAGTGGGAATGACTTGGGCATGGAGAGGCTGTAAGAATCTGGTCGGATGTGAGGAGGAAAGAGAGCCATGTCATCTTTCAAAATAATGTACAGAACACAAGCAAGCATGGAAGCCACACCAATTTACAGACAGAGAAATAACTGGCAAAGCTAAATTGTCATAAATGAGGAAAGTGAGCTTTTAAAAAAATAACATTTATTCTTATTTTGTGTGCATGAGTGTTCAGTTTTCATGTGCCTGGTGCCCCTAGAGGCCAGAAGAAAAGCAGAGTCCCCGGAACTGGAGTTACAGATAGTTGTGAGCTGCCATGTGGGTGCTGGGACTTGAACCTAGATCCTCTCTGATGGCAACAAGTACTTTCAACCACTGAGCCATCTCTCCAGCCCTAACAATGGTTATTTTTAAGGAAGTGCAGAATGGATTGTTTTGTTTTCAAAATCTTTCAGAGTGACCTGAATCTTTAAATTATATCATATGTACTTTGTACTAATAAAAAGGGACACAGGACAGCCTGGAGCGAGCCCCTCGTGGCTGGACACTCCACCTTCTCTGGTTTGCAAAGTCTGTAGTCTGAGAACCAGAGGCAGTGGTTACATCATACCCACTCTTCTGAAGAAGACACCTGGGCAACCATCTGAAGACAGCTTGAAAAATCGCCATGTTCATGAAATAAACAACTCTCTCCCTCTCGTTCCCCTCTGGGGAAGCCAGAAGCCCACAGAGATCCAGTTATAAATGAGTTTCAGTTTCCTGTCCTTTCCCCCAAATGCTGGCAGCTTAGGCTAGTCCCGTGCCAAACACAAAGTTTGGCGGGGCTGAGCTTGACTACCACACAGCCAAAGTTACCATAACTTTCTCAGCCAACAAGACATTTTCTTTCTCCAAATCTATAATGGAAAATGTTTGGTTTTTTCCCAAAAATAATGACTCCTATTCAGCACTATGAATGTTGAAAGCATATGAAGTCTACCACACATCACTGCATGAAGATTAATCTGTGTCAGTCACAGGACTTCCATTCCCTGTGATTATTAAACACACCTCTGACACGAGCTACCCTGGCTCTTCCAAGGCCTTCAACAGAGGAATGAGAGGGGAATCCTGCTTTCTTCCCTGTAATCTGAGATAAGAACCACTGGCATCCGACACCCAAGCCCTTGCTCCTGCTGCTCCTGGTACAGAGGTCCTGAGATGGAGTCTGAGAGACAGAGGGTAAAGGAGACACATGTGGAGGAGAGGAGCCATCAGACATCACTGTACCTTCAGCATGTAGTAGAAGGGGAACCAGGACAGGAAGAGATCGGAGAAGAATTCAGCAATGCTAAACACACCGTACACCACCCAGTATGTCAGCCACTGGGTGTCGTCATCTTTGTTGGGACTCTCGATGGCTTTCATTCTGAAAAGCAATGTAAAAGAAAATACATCATCAAATAGTATTCTCCAACACCAAAAACTCAAGCAGATGTGTGTTGGCATACATGAACTGCAGATCTCGGGGCAGAGGCAGGAGGATCTCTGTAAATTCCAAACCAGCCAAATACATAACAAGACCCTGTCAAAAACAATTTTAAATACCTTCATAATAGCCTGTAGGGTGTTTTTTTGTTGTTGCTGCTGGGTTTTTGTTTTGTTTTTAGAGGAAGAAACTTAGCTTAGAGAAGACAGGCAGTATTGGTACAGTAGCAGACCTGGCTTATACCTAGGACCACCTCCCAAGCCTGTGCTCTCTCCACTGTAGAGAGTTGTTTCCTTAATTAGAAAAGGAACTCACCATCAGACTGGACAGCACCTAGCAACATGCCTGGTATAAAATGTGCATTTCATGTTTCCTAACCAATATTAGTATAATAGAAGGTTTGCCATCTTACTTGTGGACGGTACCAGAGATCTTATCCTGTACTAGGAAAAGCCAAGGTCCACAGGTCATGGAGCATAAAGAGCAGAGAAAGGTCACAGTCTCAAAGAGTAAATCTCCTGAAGACCCTCTACCGTCATCCCTCCTACTTACTGGGGCAGGGGAGGGACCATCAGAAGCGAAAAGTCTGAGCTGGTGTTCTAGTCTGCTGGCTCCAGCCCACCCAGAGGAGACGGTAAAACACAGTATCTAGTTCCTTCTTGAGACCTACTAATTCACACTCTGGAAGGTGGCAGACGACCACATGCTCTCAGCAAGTTGTACTGGAGCCAGGTGGGTGGCACCCGCCCTCAGAAGGTAAAAGCAAGAGAATCTCAAGTTCCAAGCCAAACTGCTGCCTCAAAAAATAACAATAAACAAAAGAGGGCTGGGAAGATGGCTCAGCGGGTAAAGAACAGAAGTAAGGACCTGGTCCAGATGCCCAGAACCCATGTAAAGCCAAACTCAGTACTGTGTGTCTAATCTCATCCCTACTATGGCAGATGGGAGGCAGACAACCATCTTCAGAAGCTGACTAGCCAACTAGCCTGGTGTACACAGTGGCAAACAAGAGACTCTGCCTCACCTGATACTGTCCTCTGACCCCCCACAGGGGTGTCAGAGTAAGCTACCCCAACACATTAAGATTTTAAAAAGAAAGCTGTGCAGTTGTTCCTATCACAGAGTCAACTTGACTTCTTTAAAGGTCTCATGAACATAGTGCTTTTGGGGAGAAGGGCAAGACGGGGTTTCTCTGTGTAGCCCTGGAACTCACTCTGTAGACCAGGCTGGCCTTGAACTCAGAGATCTGCCTGCCTCTGCCTCCTGAGTGCTGGGATTAAACACATGCACTGGCACCACCTGGCTTGGCATGATGCTTTATAATAACAAGGAGGCAGAAGAAGGTTTTATTTGGAAAACATTGATCTGAAGACTATAACTACCACTTCCTATGAGGCTAGTTCTCTCTGGGGCTTCGTTATAACCAAACTCCAAAGTGAGCACGCTCCCTTAACTTCTCTCCTGAGGAACTAGCTAATAGATTTCCTTATAAACAGTTTTCTCTAACAATGACACAGTCTGTGCTTTAGGGAGTAAAAGGCCTTTGATATATACACACAGAGAAACAGAGAATAGAGGGTATACATCGGATGAAATGAAATCATTTGAACTTTCTACTTAAAGTAAACTATCAAAAACTAATTACACTGGGTCAGGATAATGGGCACACTATGCCTGGCTTTGCAACCAGTTCACCACTCTGCCAACACCACTTATTCTAACCTTGGGGGAGGGGATTTCATTCTCTCTGGGCTTTAGCTTGGTCATCTACCAAGTGACATGATAAACCTTACTGTGTTACCATGACAACTGCATTACAGCAGTTAGTATACATAATGTATTTATAAACACTGAATGACACAGAATAAATATGTCTGTAATAGGTAATAATTATAGTAATTTTTATTAAAACCCATAGAGAGGTGAGCAATTAAAGAGAGAAAAAGATCAGTAGTCCCTAAGATCTGGAACAGGAAATATTATTAGTAAGGCTGAAGGGAGAACGGAGAATTGTCTGTAGATTTTAAATATACTTCAAATCCTATGTGCTACAAGAAGAAAGACCGCTGAAGTCCCCAAAGGCCTGTCTGTGCAGGTCAGGAAACTGTTGAATACTGGTCAAACACTCTTTGGGCCAACCCTGGAAGTATACTGGGAAAATGTATTGTCTTTAGCAGTGAACTGGTACTAATCACACACAGGGCATGTACAAGCCTCTCGTGGCTAACAGGGGCTCAACAGCCGGTTCTGGCTGACCTCATTCCTTGTGGGCTCTCCTCCTTGTTCATACCTCGGATGCTGTGTTTGCTAGGTTTTTGAAACAAAGCCAAGAACTGAAGATGTTAAAGCACAGCATCAAAGACATAAAGAAAAGTAAAGCTGAGATGGTCATGAGCTACCAGTCTTCTCTCCCTCACAAACCAGATGCCATTAAAGACAGCTGAAAACATTCCCTGATCCAGACATGACTAAGCTGCAACTCTCAGGACTCAGGTGATACAGAGGTGTCCACCCACACTCAGCTGTAACACACTCCTCTCTCTAGTAGGAATGCTGACTGAAGACCCGGCTCTGCAGAGGGGGCAGGGCTATATGGGAACTTCCGGTCTTTCTGTTCAATTTTACTGTGGATCTATAATAACACTTAAAAACAGGCTACTTTAAAAAGAAAACTCTGCTTACAAACTAGATATTTTATAACTTATTTTTTAATTCTTATATTACATTATGCTGTTTAGTTTGGGATTCAGGGGATTGGTGTTGTTTACTTTTTTGTTTAGTTTTGTTTCGTTTAGTTTTGTTTTTGAGACAGGGTTTCTCTGTGTAACCCTGGCTGTCCTGGAACTTTCTCTGTAGACCAGGCTGGCCTCAAATGGAAAGAACCGCCTGGCTCTGCCTCCCAGCTACTGGAATTAAAGTAGCCCAAGCTACTTTTTTTTTTTTAAATGGGTCTCTTGTAGAGCATGCTGGCCTCAAATGTGACATGTAACCGAGGTGCTCCCTGACTGACTCTCCAGCCAAGCCTGGTCTCTCAGGCATTGTGACTGCAGTGTGCACTATCACAAGTGGTTTCACTTTAGCTGTTTTGATGAAGGCAGAGCACATCTTTTCCTATCGGCACACTCCGTGTGTGCTAGCAGCATCCGAGTTTATATACACTGCAACCAAATCTCTATAACTGGCAGTAGGGTGCTGAGTTTGTGAATGGTGGTCACTGCCACCATTAAACTTTCACAGAAACGTTACTGCATCAGAAATTCCAGAAACACTCCATGCCCCTCTCACGGCCCAGTGTGACTCCCTCCCTCCCTCCCTGCCAACCATTCCTTCCTCACACACACCCCCAGCATGAGTTTGTGCAGGTTAACTGGCAGAGAGGCTTTGAGTAGGGGAAGCCAGGTCCAGGGGGAGACTCAGTCTCAACCCACTGTGGTAATCCCGGTGCCTTTGTTTGATGTACTCCTAGAACTCCTAATCGCACGTTCAGAAGGCATGGCTGTCACCAGTAACATGGGAGGGAAAGATGCCCAACAGCTGAAGGATAAAATGTCCCTGCTGATAAAATGAGATCCTCACAGCTAAAACCACTCCTTACTCTCCCTCTTCCAGTCTGTTGAGCGAGCGTGTTTCTCAGGGGTACAGCACCTGCCCAGCGTGTGCAAGCCTCTGCATTCAACCCCAGAGCTGCACACACAGATCACAAGTGAAACCATGGCAGAAGCCCCGAGGAGAGCCTGCAGCAGCCTCCGCTGGCTCTCAACAGAACCGTTTGTTCTCAGTGAGCACAGTAGAGTTTCTGTGTTTACATGTCAACTGTTGGCCTATTCATTTCCTCCAAGCTGAGTCCTCTTCTTCAGACAGAGTCTCTCTTGAGAGTAATATAACAACAGCACTTGGAAGTAGAGGCAGGAGCCAGGGGTATGTTTAGTGGTTATCACACTTCCCTTGTATACACAGGCCCTGGTTCAATCCCCAGTACTACAATAACAGAAGTTTAAGCAACTAAAAAATATAACAAATATGAATTAATGCTACTCAACTCTTATGTAGTATTTTGGATTACAAATATGCTATTATCTACATCATTAACAAATTAAAACTGGCAAACAGAAAGAAGCTACGGGGAGAAAGAGCATGTTCTATTTTAAGTATTTATTATAATTGTAATTATTGAAATTTTCCTCATCTATGAATTATAATTCCTTTTCCTTGGGACAGACATTATATTTGTTACTTAAATACAGATAACCAATTAGGCACTTTAAAATTACATTTATCTAAAGAGAGAGAGAGAGAGAGAGAATATGTATTCTCACATGCTGTAGCACACATGTAGGTCAGAGGACATTTTGCAGAAGTTAGCTCTCTCCTCCCACACTGGTGCTGGGAATTGAATTCAGGTCATCAGGCTTGGGGGCACATGCCTCCACCCCATGAATCATCTCCATGTCCCCTCGATTAAGCATTTCTAACAATACATTGACTCTTTTAGACTTAAAGGTTCTTCCTGCCCAATGTATAGCTCAACATTCTTTCATGTCATTAAGCCGAAAAATGTCAGTTTGCTATACTCCGTAGAGTATGTAAGGACAAGTGTGTACAACCTATGGAATGTGTGTCACTGTACACAACAGAAGGTGAACATACATAGAAGACGTTGTCCATGTCTATGTCCTGCCTGCCACATAATAAGCTCGAGAGGTACATACAACAGACAATCCTACTGGCTTGATTTTCTTTACTTTGTTCTTAGAATACAGAGAAATGGATGAAGTGAATCCGATCTCCAGTTTGTTTGCTTTCCCTCCATTAAGTGTGCACTAGTGTGCACTAGTGTAGTTAATGTGACCTGGGGGCCACCACAGATTATCAGTTACAACACAGCCACCTAAGTGCACTTGACCCCAGGACACAGTCCCAAATGGTTCTCAGAGATCTAC